ATCCAATCAACTAACTATGCCTTAGCCTTGGAGCTGAATACAACACCTACCGCAGCTTGACCGTGAGTACTGCCGCATCAGTTTCGCTGGGTGCTTGCAACAAATAGCGAGAGGATAAGCCATGAGCGTCATTGTGTATGGTTTCGGATACGTAACGCATGTCAATACCCAGTATGTCTAACGTGCATGCGCGTGCAGCTTGTTGGCTTCTTTGTCATAGAGTGTGAACTTGTTGGAAGCTGCCAGGGAAACGGCTCAGGGTGTCCTTAGAAGGGACTGCTGCCGATAGGCATCCAGTGGGTGGTGCGGGAAGATTGCTGCAGCTGCTATGACCCCAGTGGGATTATGTCTGCTGCCAATTAAACTGAAAACTATAGAACTAAGCTTATCAATGGGAATCGGGAGGGGAGTATGAGAAATATGCGGAGAGAAAGAAGTAAGGCGCCAGAAGTAGCATGTTTTCACTTATTCTCTCTGTTGTATGCACCTGATAAGGCGATCCTTGATGAGGAACTAGGCGTCGTTTTATATGGGCTGAGATATTGTCACGAAGCCCAGACCTAAACAGTAGGACGATAAAGGTCCTCAACCAAAGCCTTCAACTCAAAAGCAAATCCGGAGTACAACGGTAAGGTGGCAATGAGATAGTTTTACTTAAATGGACGCATCCCATTCCAAACCCCCAACCAAGCGGACCAGGTGACTGAGTATGTCTGACCTATAACCCCTGGCCAACCTGGTGGGAGTAGCGCCTAATGGGGCCCAGAGGCATCACTCAGTATAGCTGAATGGGTTAACGTGGTACTCATATCGTCGCACCACGTTTAGGCCCAGTCCAGTTGTGAAGACTTTGGTTCTGTGTGAACTTCGAAGCCGAATTGCATACAACCGGCTGTTAAACGGGTACCATACCAACAGTGCGACCTCGGCTTTGCTACTTAGGGCTACACATACACCAGCCAAACCCACTGAGGCCGCGTCTGTGTCACCAGAAAGACGTGGCTTCGTGGTCCGTGGAAGATGTCAGTCTACCCATGGGGCTGGGGTGTTGCAACCGGATGTCGGCCGGACAACAGACCACAAAAGCAAGCGGGATGCTGCACAATCTAACCGTCGTATGTAGAAGCAAGCCAGGTGGCTTTTCACAGTGAGAGCGCTTGGAAGGCGAAAACCCACTACGTTCTCAGCCACCGAAATGAACTATTTGCTGGAAAGGAAAACTTTGAACCACCTAGCTAGCAAGGCAAGATTGCCCGGCGAGCCAGCCTTGCGTTCAATAGGGTGACTGATGTCATCTATGTCCGACTTATTCAGGGCTTGGTCTCGTGCAGTATGCTTGTCGACAGTCGGCGACGATTGGTTATTGAACAAGTTCAGAGAGTCTTACTCACTAAAGCGAGTAATAGAGGTGAGTTCGCCGACTTTGGACGTTGACCAGACTATAATTGCGACATCTAGACTAAGCTAGCATGCCGTTCTACGTAAGTGTAGTATGAACCTGGTAGAGGATTTTGTCTAATGCGGAACGTACGTCGGAAGACACTTGGAACTGCAATGCAACACAATTGTCTCCTTGGTGCCGGCCTATAGCCTTAGGGAGCAAATGCCCGTCTTGTACTCCGAGGGCGCGGGTTGGAGCCTGTGTAGGGATCAAGTAGCCCTCGAAGTATCCTTAACGCACGTGCGATTTCTGGTAATCACGCAGCAGCGAAGCGTCGATGTTGCGTGTCGGCGTACTGCCGATGCCTTACCTTTCTTTAAATGGTTAGGTGGAATTAATGCGACCAACTACCAAGCGACAGCTGAACTGGAAAACTCCTTCGCCAACACTTCATGTCCGTCGGCTAAAGGTTATAACTACAGCTTATATGCCGCAATACAAGAGAAGGGCAAATAGCGTAACCTAGGCAGGTCAGCTGAGCCACCAGTAACGGATGGACGGAGAGCTGACAGCCCGTTATTGTGCCGTCAAAAATGTTTATGCGTCGGAAATGAGCACCTGATTGGAGGGGAGGGACAAAGAAAATCAACACAAACGCCACTGAGAT